AAAAAGGTATTGTTCAACTTCATTTGGACTTCTTATTAAGGGAAACTGAAAAAACACAGAGTAGTCTTAATTTTTACTTTATTTAATTTATTTTGGGATTGTTAATATATATTCTTGGAGTGTCTGAATTAGCTGAATTCTTGAAATTCTTAGATGCAAGGAATTTAATATTAAATCTAATATAAAATTAAAGGAGAATCGATTAAACACAAATAAGAAATTTAATAATTACTTTCCAAGAAAGTTATTAAAATATTTGAAGCAATAGCAGCCTGCAGTTAAATGAAAATAGATGCATCAATTTAAATATATCTAATTCTACAATTTCAAAATATGAAAATATCTTCGAGAAAGAGAACAATTTCTTATTATTAATTAGCTCGAATATGTAAATGGTCATATTTATAAAATCTTCTCAATTTTTATGACTATTTCCCTATTGTAATAATCTTTAGTAGTAATCACGATTAGTACACAAATTAAACGAAAAGTTATTAGAAATTATTCCTTAATTGAATAAATTATTATGTTTGGTTCTTCTGTTTGGTTACACCCAGTATGCCTCAGTGAATCATGAAATCCTAAACCCTTTCGTTACGAAACAGTGCTACGTAAATTCAAATTTTACCGCGATTTGTTTATAACATCCGTTATTGTTCATATTATACGAATTATTGAATTTTTATTTAAATAATTTCGAATCAACATACAGCGAATTATGGACAAATATGTGTCCGAATAATAAAACTGTAATGATGAAAACAACCAGAATTGTTAATAAATTCAAAATTTGTGCAAACAAATAGCAATCATTTTCATAATGTAGTCAGCTTTAGTAAAGAAAGATTTAAAACGTTTCGCCGTATATCGGTGTTTAAATGGACCGAAAGTAGAATGCGAATCGACTGCTGGAAAATGGTACGCGAAGCAGAAAAGAGAAAAGACAGATAATTGTCAAAATGTGACCGCGGACACTTTGTGCCATCCCTTTGTGATCCTAGTTACTCTCGTTCCAGTAAGTCCGGATTTATATTTCTCGGTTTACGGACGATATCGCACAATTTTATTTTACTTAAACATTTCGTGCGTTTCAACGAAATAAAACGAAAAATGATTCGTTACAAATCATAACTCGTAATTCCCCCGCATGTGTCCGAATTCTTTTTTTACATATTTCCCATATAACAAAAATCATCCCTTTTCCGCCTGACACTTTACGGTGTGGTACAAACCACACAATGCGTACTCGCGTCTTTGTTGTGAGCGCATACTACGTATTTCCACGTTAAAAAAATACCGATTCGTAAACAACGAAATTTTGAACAAAAATATTAAGAACATAACTATCTTGACGTCAAGGCGAGTCCCCGTTTAATCGGGGATGTTGTTCTGAACTAAACAGAGCAGCTGTTTATCTTAATTCTACAACTAGTAAATTATAAAACGTGCGTAGGAGGCGTGAAGAAACCCGAATAATACGTCGCCTGTGTACGGTCACGATAGCAGGAGAAATATCGGAGCGAGCAGCATCGATTAAAAATAGGTAAAAATCGTTCGGACGAGGCTCGGCTAGCTGAAATGCGATTGTCGAATCGGACTCGACGTAGGACCGCAAAGGGTTAAATCGCGGGGCATTGACTCGTCCCGAAGATGAAAGATAAGGTGGCCAGGACGGTGACAATCGGCTCGCATAGATTCCCATAGATTATCGTAGAACGTATGCGAGCCTTGGGTGCGTGGTCGCACACGGTATCACCGCGGACACTCACCCGAAATCATCGTCCATCGATTTGAAGAAATACTTGTAATTCGGCCGATTCAAGACATTTTTGAAGTCTGCCAGAGTGACCCTTTCCGGTGATATGGTGAGCTTGACCAGGTACGGGGTCTCCTCGTCGTCGATGTGATAGATGATCTTCGTCTCTTCCATCGTCTCGGAATCCTGTTATTACGCGTGCATTTGCGAACCGGGGGGGAAAAAAAACTGATCGCACCGAAGGCCCCACTAACTATGAAACAATTCTCTTGAACCAATATGGCGCGTCACAGTTCGAGCCAAAGCCCTCGCGCGTACGACGACCGTTCGTTCATGTAGCCCGTTTCTAGAGCTTACGCGAGTCCGGCCGCGTGCAACATTATCGAGAACCCGTGCAGCCAGTTACGAGGAAGCCGTTGACATTATTCGAGACAGTTCCACGCGAGTTGTACACGGTGCAACCGACGAGCTGAATTAAACGTCAACATTCTCGCCGACATTACACACACTCGCGGCGGATCGCCCGATGTACTCGACGGTACGCTCGAGAATTCGAAGCGAACGGAGATAGAAAGACGAGCCACGGAATGATTTTTACACCCCGCCAGCCATTCGGCGGATCTTTCGACAGATGGCGTCGAAGCACCGCTCTTCAATATGGCGACCGGTTCGAAAACTTACCTACGGCCACGAACCTAATGCAGATTGAAATCACCGACGTCGCACAAGTGTGATATTTCAACGACCTACGAAGATTTATGTAATTCCGAAATTGAATGAAACTAACAAATGTCCAAGTTATCCCCTAATTTGAAAGCAGTATCTCAGTGACCCGGAGTAATGCCTTCGGATAAGATAAATGTGTCTGAAGTGAACTCTCAGTAAAAAACACTGTTGCGTCGAAAAGTTGCAGGCAGTGCATTTCCGGTTTATTTTTCTTCATTCTTTCGGCATTACGGTTCCGAATTATCGACTTTATGGAATGTGCACAGATTTAACTTAGATCTGTGGAAAGTGCTCTAGTACGATAACGGACTCTATTTAGATGTAACGGTCAGCTAGTGAATTACGCTAGACTGCAACAAGGAAAATGCGTACTCGAGGATGTATGTTAGGGTTAGAATATAAGAAACGATTAGAATGATGGCCTATCAAGTAAATTGTTTGCAATGTATGTACATTCTTTGAACTTTGTTTGAAACTCATATTTCTTGTATGGTGGCAGAGTAAAGCGAATACGAAAACCGCGCCAATAGCACCCCCTATGACAGCTGCGCAGTGGTTTGTTGCGCAGTAGTCTCGAAAAGACCGTTATGCTGGCGCCACTGTCTCCGTAATCCGAACTTCGTAGTTGAAAAATCGCGCTTCTCCAGAACTTCAAGATTTGTTAGATATTGGTTTGTTAAAGTAATTCTGTATCGTTTAAACATAGTAGAAAGTGTAATTAATACGAGTAGATCCTAGCGTGTCATTTATTTTCGCGAGACTCCTGTTAATTCCAGAGAAAAGTGAGTTCGAAATTTTGCTCCCTACGACTTCAACTTCCGCCATGCTTCGTTCGATTTTAGAAATAATGGAACTCCTTCCGTGCATTACTAACAATATTACGAAGGTAAATTACACGTACTTAAACATAGGTATTAGTTTACAAGTATTGTTTTTCAATTAATTTAACACTGGTTCCATTTGTCTTTCTTAGGATCTTTCGCAGCCAACCTCAACATAGCGAGACTCGGACAATCGGTGTTACCTTCGATTTTGAAAATCTTACCAACCGAAGATCACATCGAGCTGATAGTTGCAAACTCGTGAGCATATTATTATACAATTCAAATTGAAATACGTTTGCTTTAGGAATAGGAATTTGTGGGGGGCATTAAGTATATTTCAGAAAGAATATTTGAAGTTTCAGAAGAACCAAATATATGTACAATTGTTTTATAGCGACATCTACAATTTATCCATAGTTTAAGAAAGCTACTTTTCAGTAATGTAGTCAAATCTACTCAAAGGGGAGCAAAGATCGATCGACCAGAGAAATAAATAAATAAATTTTATTTTCGTGAATGTGGCAAAAATACATATTATACAATCTCGTCAACGTGGAAAATTTAATACTTCTACGACCGAATTTCCACTCGTGATTAGTTGTAGGAAAAGACTTCGAACTTAAACGTTTCCTTGAAGTGCATCTCAATTACAAATGCATCGCACTTATTACCTTAATAATGGCACACGATTGAGGCAGAATGTGTGACTTCCTCGAACGAAATAAATCACAGAAAAAACCGATACTATCCGTGATCACCTTTTACCACGACGGTGTTAAAAGGACAGAGAGTTGAATGGTGTTTTCTATAGGCATTGTGTGATATCTAGTATAAAAATAATAGCTAGGGTTTGTCTGTACTCGTAGACGACGTCCGACGTCCTCCTTGAGCTACATCGTTCACGTAATTATCCCATTTGTGCTCCCAAAGGGACAGGGCGGCTTCCTTGTCTTCGGCGCTCAAACTGCTGTAGACGAGAGAATTAATAGCTAGCTGCTTGAGCGCTTTCAAATCAGCGTGCTTGGACATGATCCCCACGAAAGCTTCGTAGAAGTCGTAGCTCAAAGCTCTAGCGCCCCAAAATGATGGATCGTCGTTTGAAATCACCACTGGGTATCCTTCGGCGAACAATCGTCTGGCAGCGTGGTTTCTCATATCGTCCACGAGTTTTAGAACTTGATTAGAAATTGGGTTCACTTCTATAGCGATGTTCATTTGCCTCGTCATTTCGAGGAGAACGGGATGATTGACCAGCGCGTATCTGTTGAATATTTTTCAGAGATTTTAGATCTACGACGCGACAAATTTTCGCACTTGTGAAAAAAAATGAACTATAAATCAGTGAACGAGGACACATAATAATCTTTCTAATTTATTAAAACAGGAGATACATTTTTAGCGTGCTCTTGTTTCTTGCAACATTAATTCGATCTTACGTTCATCTGAATTAACGAAGTAATTGCAAATAAAGAAAGTCAACGATTTCGAGAGATTATGATTCACAGGAGGAAATTCTAACAGTTCGCCGTACGATGAATCAGTTCTCGATTAACTATTCACTGAACTCATGAATCGTCGTCGAGATGTCCTAATAGATTCAATCAATTATCATCGTTAAACCAGAAATATACCTCTGCTTTCAACTGCGCTGTTGTCTGCGGTATAATTAATCGTTGTTATCAGGTTGTATCTTGGATATTTTATCGGGAATTTCGCGGAATATTACAAAGTGATAATCGTTTGCATCGATTAAAAGTTGCAATGTGCAAAGAACAAGAACCGATTAGAAATATTTTCTTACCTCTAGCAATCTTAGTAAGTCGAAAATCATATTTTTCACAAGCGTGCACGAAACCCGCAAATTGCTTAATTATAATTATTGTTCGCTACGTACCCGTGGCCGATGCGTTTCGTGTTCAACAAAATAGCGTCGACTAGATTCTCGTCGGTGGATACACCGTACCAATTAGTCTCGCCAGCATGGAAAAAGAAATTCGTATCCAGTGCAACGTTTTCGAGAATGTGTGAAAAGTACAGCAACGTTTTTCCTTTGTCCTCTTGTCCGACTAAATCGAAACCTGCTATAAAGTTTGGATAGAGCTCCTGCAACTCTTTCAGGATCTTGATGTATTCTTCTGCCTGCCTCTGATCGACGAATCTTTTAGGCGCGTAGATCAATTTCACTCCGACGAAGTCCGGATGATCCTTCATAAATCTGTGTACACGAAGGATCATATATGTCAAAGCCTGTGATTTATGAAGCATACTTTAGATTGCGAGAACAATTCGTTTTTGATTTATGACGCCGATAGCTCTTCTAATCTTTACCCCAATTTGATAGCGCGGTTTAGAACCCTTTCGAATATTCGACGGACTCGGCCCTTATCGTAGATAAGCACGCCAATTAGACTGTTATCATAATCTTGGGACTCGAAAGTCGTATTTCCTTTTCTTTTCTATCAGCTAGGAAAATTTTTACCAATTGTCGTTTCATGAATCACTGTTATTATTTCGATACAGAGAAATATACTTTTTTTAAGAGTGCAATTTCATATGCAATATTTGTTAAGATCAGCATGAATTGTTTTCTAGAAGCGCTATCATAAAAAGTGAACGATTACTAAAATTAATCAAATTATTCTCAGGGAATAAATGTTCCATTTAAATCGATTAATAAACATCAGCGAATCAACTTGTTCTAAACGATTTCTGCTTTTCTTTACGATGAAAGTAAACATATAAATAACATAAAATAAATGGAAGAAATTCTAAAGAGTACCAAGGTACTAAATACTAGCCTCTCGGAAACGTTCTTCAATAGATCAGCAGTGTCCTTGGCACTGTACTCGGTGCCGTTGAAATCGTACAAAACGGGCAATGTGGATCGCACCTCCAAGTACATCACATTGTCCTCGTAGAGTTGCTCCAGAACAGCCCTGAAATAGTCGTCGTAAATAGGCTTGAAGGTGAGGATCGGATGAACGAACTCGAAAATGTCACTGAATTTCGTCCAGGCCTTGTCAAGGTCGGAATAAGCCTCCGCAGGGTTGTCGCAAAGCATCGACAGCCTATTTCTAATCTCCTTATTCACCCTCGTAGCACGTAGTGGCTGCTGGCGAACTTTCTTCAGCAACTCCCATTCGCATTCCTCGTCCGGTTCTTCGAAGAACTTCAATTTGAACGTCTCGTTCGTCTCGCAGACGTACAAATTGTCGCGAAATGTGATGTTGTTATAAATGTAATTGGTCGAGGCCAGGGCCGTGTCGTGAGCATGCAGCACCGCGCCTTTCGGCATTTTTCTGATCAATTGAAATACTTCGGACTCGTCGATGTCCTTCTTCGCAGTTATGAAGTTCCGGCCCGGGGCGAACTTCTTCGGGGTCTTGAAGCCTGGTGGTTGCAAACAGACGGAGCCGCGTTTAAGAAAAACAATTATATATGCCTCGTTTAGAAAAACGGAAAACCATTGGGACACATGTTTCAAGCAATAACCCTGCAATTTTTGTGGGAATAAATGGTACTCTTAGGAACTTGTTTAAAAAGGCGTGCCTTGAAATCAGTGAAATTAGAGTTCCTTAGAGACGAGTTATGTCAACAAGTTTATTAAAACTAGTCATATGGAAGGAACACGAAGAATCCTTGAACTGAAAATTATTTACGTGACTATCACTTTAGAGTATTATTTTTCTTGTAATCATTATATGACATTTTTACGACACTAGTCTCTGAAATTATGGTCGAACCGTAGAATAGCTACTTTCCTCTCCGATATCGACGGTAGATCTTTTCCCCGTGGCATAATTGGTGGAAAACCCACGGTTTCCGAGTGATTCACGAAAAAAAGTACTCATAATATTACATTGAATCTCTGCGTCATTAGAAAAAAGTTAACCAAACTAAAAATTCTAAAACCAGTCCTCCACTGACCACAATAGATTTGGAACGAATTAACGACTGCGCGAAATTCTTCCCAATTGTCCTTCAACCTGCGAACAAAAATGGACAATTCGGGAACAGGAGATACGATTATTCGAGTCTTACGCCACGTTTCTTTGAATCACGATCTAAAAATTCCCGCATCGCTCGGCGACGACGCGACCGCGAAAATTCAAATTCAAACGCGACAGAAGGCGTCTTTCTTTGTTTATCGGGCGACAAGTCGACCTAATCGCCAGTACAAAGTATCAAAGAAAACACGTGGATCGAACTGGTTTCCGCGTCGTCGCGATCTCCCCCGACCCCGTAGACGTTACAAGAAACGCACCAGCCTCCACTTCCTTCCACTTCTCCTTCATCAGGATATCGTTGGCGGCCTGCTCGACAACGTTCAAGGTCAGATTTGCGCCCAGCATGGACCGTTGCTCGTATTTCAGTATCTGTTCGCGCAAGGTCTTGTAGTCGATCCTCGGCATCGCGTGACTCGCGCCCGTCAGGCACATCACCAACGAAAGAAAAACTATTCTCATGATTGGTCCCCTTATCCGGTGTCGCTTAAGTTGAGCGCATGGGTCTGAATCCCGGCCTGTTCACGATCATCAATCACATCACGGTCCGATCGTCTCGACAGTTCGCGGCGGACTGACTTGATCGGTCCCATCAAGCAGCGCGTAGGTAGAGGCGCGTGTCTATCTGGAAGTAAAACTCTCGACAGTTGCTATAGTCTCGTGTGTATGCGGGACCCGTCGGGCCCCTTACCCTTCCTCGTGTCTTACCTAGCCGTGTTGCGAAGTCGCGATGCCAGAGAGTCGTACTAGGACTACTGTCGGATAGCTTCACCTAGACGGCGATTAGGTCCCTCCGCGTGGTCGGGTTCGACTTTGGAACCTATCCGGGGACTGGTCACCCTAATCTTGGTGTCCGCTGGTGGTCGTAAAGTGGCCGATCGCGCGATGCGAGAACGGGGACTGTGAGAGCCAGCAGTTTTGTTTCACTCGACCGACTGCTTATAATTTCTAATCGTTGAACGATTGCGACACTACGTTTGCGCAGCGGAGCTACTCCGATGCAGTTTTTCCAGGTCAATTAGTTGACAGAGACGATCAGAAAGTTTGCTTTTGTTTGATAACGAGTGATAAGCCGCGCACCTTTCATCGTTCATCTGGAAAAACAGCGTTGTCAGTCTCGCGGTCACGCGTCGTTAGAAAATGATTTATTATTTAATTACCGAAAAGACGCGCTCCTTCTTCCGTGTCCTCCTCCTCCTTTGAACGATACCCCTTGCAGTCGAAATTCGTAGGATTCGCGTCGAAATCATAGTCGAGACTTGACCCTGTTATTCTTACCGTTCAGAGCTTACCGTATCGCACGTGTACAGGCGATTCAAAAGTCCCGTGAAGCAAAGATAACGGGGTAAATGTGAGGTCACACGTGGGCAGAGGATAATTCAAAATGGCTGACCAAACGGCAGACCGTCGCAATGTTGATGAAATTGAAATCAATTTTTCCAAATTCGCAATCTTCGAAATATTGCGAATTAAAATTGTAAAATGGTAAAATTTAATAACCAAAATAAATTCTCTCTAATTGACGATCAGATCGTGCAGAAAAATGGACAATTCGAGAAGAGGAGACACGATTATTCGACATTCGATATTTCAACAGCTAGAAAAAAAACGAGCCGCAAGATTCGATTTGTTGAAATTTTAGCCTCGAACAAAAATTAATCTATAGTTTACTTAGTAAGATATCTTCAGTTAAGATATCGGTTTACATTTCGCCGGCTCCGTCAGCGGGCAGCGACGGTGATGTAAACTGTATATATTAGATGCCGCGATGCATCATCGTCGGTACCTTTTGATATACATCGTGCCCTGACTGTTTGAGGGTCCCAGCGTCACGTATACAATGTAAAACGCGACAAATAAAACGTCTCTGATTGGTGGACACGACGAACCCAAAAAGGGTATAAAAGAAGCGTTTCTTCTTACCGGACTCTCAGTAGAGTTTGGTCGCTCGATCGGTTTCGTTCATATACCTTCTCCCAATAAAGGATTAAAATAAAGTCTTCTAAAGCAAAGAATTAGAATCATTTCCATTCCATAATCCCAACACGATTAATCGTATCTCCTCGAATCAAATTCTCCATTTTTGTGCACGATCCGAGCGTCAATTGGAGAGAATTTTCTGTACATCGTCAGAGCACAGCTTATACATTTTCCCCATGTGCGACGTCACTTGGACGCTTCGGACGCTGAAGACTGCTTCGGGGAATTATCTGAAGCCGTGTCTCTATAGGTACATACATACGGTCTGAGGTCCCGACCAATCCCTCTGTCAGAAAACTATGTACCGCATCGTGCAGCGCGCGTGATGTAGTTAGCAAAGAATGTACAATTAATCGCACCGCGGACAGGTTTAATGAAACGTTGGCGCCGGATTACACGTAACGTGGCTGTTTAATCCGTCGGGGCGAAAGTCATGATAATTTACGCAGGAGTTAATTACCGTCGAGTGCCATTCGCTTATGTAATGACGCACGCTCGTGTCTTTTCAATTGTCGCTCTAGGAGAACGCACGCGATGCAATCCGCGCCTGCCACTCAAGAGTGAACACATATTCTCAATTAACCAAATATTGTTGCGAAATCGTCGATGAATTTTACCGGATTTTATGCGTTTTAATCGACGCTAATGATTGATATATTTTCGTTGATCGTTAAATTAAATGTTTCAATGGTAACGAGAAGTTAAACTGTACAGAGCCTTTCATCTGGAACAGGCTAATTATCTAATTATACTCTACAGTTGTATTGCCGCGGGACGATGTATAATTAGAAAATGATAAATGATTTTGTAAGAGACATAACAGAACAATGACGTTCACACGGTTAATAAATTCTACACAAATGGCCCGTTCGAGACAGTGTTCAGAAGTCATAAATCTGACGCTTCAGGCTATTAAGGAGAGCGTGGATTATTTTCAATTCGTAATTAATTAAGACGCTGAAAGCACTCGAAGGATTTCGACGATCGAATTAATTCGTACATTTACCACCAATCGTCCAGAAATGTGTCGGCGGTCGAGCACGCTGGGTGGAAGAGAATTGATTTCAACCAAGACGATTACTTTCAATAAATATATATATTATTGAAAATAAAGTACATCAAACAGAACAAACAGGCGTGTACAATCGTATTGCAAGAAAAGAAAACTGTTTATTTCCAGTGCTGACAAAAAAGAACGGTTTGTTACAAAAAAAGTAAACGCAATCGCTCGGATTTTGTAACAAACAACACCAATTCGCCGGATAGAATATAAAAGGAAACGCCTGTAACAACGTTAATAAATTATCGGAAACGAGTCTCGCTTTCGCTGCGCGGGTCGGACACATGAACAGCGCGTGTCCAAATTGGGAACACTGATCCGAAAACATCGACTCAATTAGAAAACACCTCCCCCGATCGAAATCCTTTAAACTCGGTTTGCCATAGAGGAAACTGTTGCGTACAGACAAGTCCTCGATTTCCGAGCCCGATCGAGATCGATTCCGGAAATCTTGATCCCTGTTCTGGCAGTACTAAATCTAAGGCACTTCACTGATACAAGCACCTTCTGTTTACACAATCGTGGCGGGCCGTTCCGCCGTACGAAGTACATGTAAACGTGGTTTTTCGATCGCTCGATCATTCGATCAACCTACACTCTACCAAATCATTCCAGTATAATGTCCTTCGTCGGGACTCTCTATTCCCGACGAATTCCATTAATTCGGATCTTCACGGAACACGTTTAACGCGCAGTAACATCTTATCTACCGGCAGTCCTCGAAGATCAAAGACAAATTAATCGAGGATGTTTTTTTCCACGAGGTATAATACTAATCGAGAAATTATCTCGATCGGCATTCTAATACAAAAAGAAAAATTAGGCGGCAAGTTCAAGCGTATGCAAGGGAAATGTAAATCGTACAAGAACCATGCCTATTCTTTCGCAGGCTCCAAAATTTGTGCTACATAAATGTCTATATATAATTTTTAAACATCGTCCGTTCGGTTTCGCAAGCACGAATAATTGTTCTAACAATTATATTTACGATTCCGAACGGAATCCGTTCTACCAAAACGTGGTACAACATCGGCTCGTTAAATTCTCATTGTTAAGCTTTTTGCAACACATTCGCTATAGTCACTGTCAATAAATAAAGCGTCAACCGTTTGAGCGTCTCGAAAATTGAACAACTCGGCAAGCGACGTCTGCGATTCTGAGAACAGGCAATGACTGAACAGTGCGACAACGGTATACACTTTTTTTGTGCAGTGTAATAATTGCATCGAACCGCAGACGAGTGCGCATTGTGCAGTTAAAAACAAAAACCCGGGGAATGTTCTGATAGAGCCTAGATCGCTGGAGATACGTCTCGAGCAGATATTTTCTTGAAAACGCCGACAACGTGTCAAGTGAATCGTAAAAAAATGTTCCTAAATTCATCGCACGTCAGCGAATCATCGAGCAACCATCGCCGATGATCCCCGACAAGTCTAGTTTGCTTCTGCCACTCTGATCGGCCTAAGTATACGTCGAACACCGGGCTCACCGTGGCGCGTATACAAAGTTCGTCGCGATTTCATTGGTACCAATATACATATACACTGACAGCTTGAAAAAATATTTATATATTTATAATAAAAGTACCACTATTAGACACTTAACAATTAATAACTGCACCCATCGAAGTAATACTACTAGAATAAATAATGTCGATTTAGAAATGATCCTTAAACGTACTTAAGTAGTCAATATGCTCCGGTTGTGGATCTCGCGATCGTGTTACGTCTGTGTGTTTATGATATTTATTGTCTCATGTCGTTTTATGGAGATGAACGTATATAGTAACAAACGATTACAGACAGCTACGGATATACAATCATAGTTTTTGTTTTCCAATCGTTACAACGGTCTTCCATCGTCGCGCGTCTACGCGCGAGAATCGAATCGCTCCTCGAGCTCGCCTGAACGCGGTTCAAATTTAATCGATCACAGAAACGAAACGTCGACGTTCGATAAAAGGAAAAAGAAACGTTTTTCATTTCGCGTTTTCCCGTCGCGCTCGACGAGCGGAGAGAGGCCTCGTTAACAGGGAAATGAGAAGAACGCGAGGAGCTAATTAAATCGGACCGCTCGCTAATTTCGTCCATAGAAAAAATATACTCTTCATGTTGGTTCCCGTGTTAACGAAGCTCAAGGTCGCGACACACGCTAAGTACCATACTACGCGACGCGTTTAGCCCGTATCGTCGAACACAGGATATGTAAACACAAGCTTTTGTCCGCGATCGAATCCCGATTCTTTCCGTCTCGCGATTCGTTCTTCACCGACTGTGCTCGCATTAACACGTTCGCGCGGAGCGTCGCCGCGATTAAAAAATATAATATGTATACTCGACTAATGTATCAAATTGCGTAAGTAAGGTCCTAGTGGTCGTTCATAAAAAATTTTTCTAATCGCACGCGAGTACCAAAAGTCTACGGGGGTTCCTTCGTCCGCCATTAACACGGTCGAGACTACTGTGTCGGTCAGTACACGCTTGAAAATGGAATCGATGCTCTTCGAATTGATTCGAACGATCTCAGATTATCTCGGGGCGCTGAAACAATTGGTTTACCAGCCAAGCTGCCGAATCATTTTTTGAGAACATTGCTTTCGATTGGAATCGAGAAGAAAATGATAAGATTTTTCATACAAATCGGAGACTTCAGATGCTCTGTTTTCCTAATTGCCGTAGGACCAAATGGATCAATCTGAAACTTACCGCGTACAACACTCTTTACTATGCTAGTCAGCAAAGATCGAGTTTTGCAGCGTGAGTTTGCGATTATTCCATTATCTGAACGCTCGTGTTGCTTCGATTAGTTCGGATAATCGAGGTTTATTTTGATCTGTTTTGTAAAATGACATCGTCTTGTGTACTTTTTCAAAGGCAGTATAAATTAGTCGTTGTTGGTGCTTCGTAATTAATCGACCTTTTGACTACGCATGGCCAGCACAATCGTGACGAATAAATGACAATCTTTTAATAATTTTCGAGAAACTTGTTCGAAAAAGGTGCACACGGTTTGTCGAAAAATTTGGCCTTTGATTTTTTAAATTGGTGAACACTATTAATGCTTCAAATCGCCAGGATACATGATATTATTTATTGGCAGTCCTATAAATAAATTGTTCAACAGTCTTTACAATTATATTTGTAGATCAATGAATCGTTTCGAGTTTATTATTTATAATTGCTTGTAAATCGATATGGCAAATTTGTACGTTAAGAAAATATTGATATAAAATATAAACATGTTTGTCTTTTTATCAGATGCAGAATGAAAAAAGATTCGACAACGATCTTCGTTATCCAATATATGAAAAAGTATTCGAATACTTTTCTAATTTTCTAACAACCATAGACAGTGCGCGTAAAGAGATCTTCTTCTTCATCTGTACCTTCGATGAAAACTGAATAAATACCGACTAAATTGCAATTACCAAAGGGAAAGCAATATTCTCAAGAGTCATCAGGTCGTTCGAACCAATTTAAATGAATGTTTCTTCTGTTTCGAAGCGTGTACTTTGTGACTGCGTTTTTATCGTTACGGTTTCCTTTTTAAACGTTTTCTTATCAAATCCGCCTATCCATGATCCCTGAGTAAAAAAGCGTCAATGCGTAGGACATTGAGGAGAAACAAATTACTATCTAAATCGTTGTGCCACCGTTTTGATGTTTTCCGGGTGTACGCGGCGTTCACTTCCGGCCGAAGCCCGAAAACGATTATCGGAAATAGATGTACACCTTTCCTCTCAAACCTGAACAACCTGTCGTCGCATCGTGATGCGATCACAAAAAAATCACTTCTCGGCTCTAGATCCGAGCCAGCGGTGTAACGATCCAACTCGATCGTTTCGCGTACACAGGACCGTCGTTCCGGGGGGTTTCAAGCGGAATCGAGCACGCGAGTTATGGTCGCGTTTAGGTCGTCGATTATGAGCGGCGCCAGTCGGCGGTTAAATGACTTACTTACAAGGTGTGAGCGTGACAATGACAATGAATACGGTTAAGAGGCTTTCAATGACATGTCTGCGTGGGCCAGTGTCAGCGACCCTACCAGAGACACCAAAGTACGGTCCAGCCATGTTATGGGGTTCGGATACAGCAAGCCACCCTCGTAAAAGCCAAGATGCCCGCCATGTGCCAGTTCTATGTATATCGTGTTGGAGTGGTTTTCTGCAACGAAAGAATCGCCGTTCAATAATTACCTCAAATGTTACTTTAAGTAGCGATAACGAGCGATGCTTATTGCCATATAAATTGTCATAAATATGTATCTCCTCGTCGTTATCGCAATCACGAACTTCATAAATATTCGAAGCAGACCGGGAAACTCGCAATTTCAAATGTTACTTTAAGTAGCAAATAGTAAGGGCGCTTTCTGCCATATAAATCGTCAAGAATTTGCATCTCTTATCGTTATCACACTTTATAAATAATATACTTTATAAATATTCGAAGTTCCCGGAAACTTTCGTCTATGCGGGCACTGATATTTTTCGAAGGTCTCGAATAAACGCAAATTGCGATACGGATATTACAGAGGAGCGATAAAGCGTTCTATCCGAGGTAAGATAGCTTGGCCAACGTGTCCCGTGTGTCACGTTTCTCTGGTAAACGGAGCCATGGCAATGGCCTACATTGGCCAAGGTCCGCCAAGGTCGGTTCCTCGGACCCAGCCATAATGATTCCCCGCCGATGAATTACAAATGAACCGAACGATCACTCACTGGCGTGTTCCTTCATGGGTTCCAGCAATTTGTCAGGTACAATGGGGTCGTCCAACGCGTTGATGAACACCATGGGTGTTGTTATGTTGTCGAGGTAAAAAATAGAGCTACTCCATTTGTACATTTCCGACACCGATCTGAAATTGTGCACCTGTTTTGCAAACAATAAGAATTAATTCGTGTGCGCAATTGTTACTGCGCGGCTTGCATAAAATCTAGAGCGCACGCAGCGCAAGCTGTAATTCTGTTAATTACTAGACACGTCGATAGTATTTTTCACCTTTCTCGTGTACGCTTCGTCCAGTTCCGGCAGCGTCGCCGCGGAAATGATGTCGCGTTCGTTCAAGTTGTACTTCTGCTTAACTTCCTCGGATAGCAGTACGTGCTTATGCTTAAGGATAATACTTTTCACGGACTCCGACATTATGTAGAGGTAAAAGCGTCGGAAGTTTTGCCAGTTAAGTAGGAACTTCGTACCTCTGAACAGAAAAACAGTGAACAATAAACTTTAATCATATACAAACGATAAACATTAATCATATACAAACGATAAACAAACAATAAACTTTAATCGTCTCGTTTTGTATCAGTTGCATTGTTTGCAAGGACATTATCAAGAGCGGCAAACATTGAATATCTTTGTACTATTGCAGGAAATAGATGCCTTAACAGAGATTATCTATAAAAATCGCACGTTTATGGACTATTGCTAAATATCATCGTTAGTCTGCGAATCTTTGTGCATTACAATTGTCTGCGCTGACTGCAAGAAACAGGAGACCGGTAACAAAATATTTCACTTCTTTAGAATTACAGTCAGCTGGAACTAGAAGTGAAAATTAGGAAACAAGAGCTTTCACAGTTTTGAACAATGCTTGTCACAAAAATGCGATATTTATGGACAAGTTTGTGCATAGATTCTTGGTCCAACGACCTACATGGGGGTCAGTGAACGGTGAACATGTTAACAACCGAACAGTCTAAAACATGGTAAAACTAAATTATGCGTTCTTAGGCTTGGCACGTTAGTGGAACTCTGGTCACACATAAAATGAGTTTATGACTCCACGATCCAGGGAACGAAAGAGTCTCTGTGTGGCCGACTAATTGAAAGTGGAACGGACAATGCAATATTCACTGAATCTTCGTTAACGTTGCTCTATTTTCGGTGGTTAATTAACGCTAGAACTACCAAACCAGTAAAAATGATCGATTTCCGATTTTTTCTTTCACGGTTCCTGATATTATAAAAATACATATGTATAATACATAATACAATATAAATAATAATAAAATACATAATATAATATATATAATATAAAATACATATATTTCTGGAAGAGATTCTTAGGTACGCTTTTTTATCGAAGTATACATTACAATATAAATCGTACGAAGTTTAATATTAGTTTAGTTTTAATATATTAAGTTTATATATATTAATTTATTATTTATTAAGTTTAATATATTAATTATTATAATTAGCCGCGTTTAGAGCTCGGTAGTTCTAGGGTGAAGACTGCCGGAAGTCCAGCAGTCAAGCGGAGCTTCGCGTTCGCCCTCGAACTGATTTGTTCAGGGAAGATCTCTGGTGAAGATCGTTCTACTTACTCGAGGGCGTTGTATCCCTGACAAATCGATATACCACCGATTATGTTCGACAACTTGTTCGATCCCCGTTCACCCAGGTACTTGGTCACCAGGTTGCCACCTAAGCTGAACCCGATGCACACGATCTTCGTGTTTGGGTGCTTCTCTATCAGGCTCTGCAGCATCACGTGATAGTCCTCCGTATGGCCTACGGAAAGTTCATTACAGATTCAATTAAAGCAGCCTGACTATCCCGCTGGGGTCATTGAATATTTAACCCTCGTTCGTTCATCGTTAGCCAAACTCAATTTGCTCCACGGTGTCAGGTCGACGATGCAGTGCAATGCCCATGCAAATTACCGAATTCGCAAATTCTTTCGTTCGTTTTAAAGAAGATTAAATTCCTTCGGACGTTTAATTCGGAGGCTAGCCGGAGGAAAGTCATCTCCTTAATGAAACTAAACGTATACGTGAAATTTCACGCATCTGTGTCATCGAAATCAAGCGATAATGGTTAAATTGATGAAGTTTTCACAGGCTTCATTGAATATCTCCGAAAGTCTAAATTAATTTATTTAGTACGCATTCACATTTCATTAGAAATCGTTTCAAATATACTGCTTTGTCAGTGTGTTAATTATTAATTTTAAACTGTCCGGCTTTGATATCATCGAATCAATTAATTTGATTGCATAGTAACTTAGGTTAGTGGTGTGACAGCCTGATAATATGTTAAGTAATGACTTATCGGTAGACCGCGATTATTCGTGCAAATCTTCTCTGGAAACAGGAAAATTTGTTGAAAGCCGACGCGTCTTCATGGAAATGCGGCTTACTAGACTAGAAAAATTCGATACGTTATGCATACCGGAAATTTTTGCACGTATTATCTTCACTTCGACACATGCTCGACTGATGACCACCGTAATTTGAAAGTCCGATTCCAAGCAGAAAATCGTATGCAACTTTCTTATGATATCGTTTCATTCTATCATATCGTCCGAGTGAATAGATTAGTATACATTTGTATGTTCTACATGTTTTTAAGCATGCAAATGTGAACCATCGAATCAGCGAGAATTACGTCTTCTCATTGTCGAGGACGCGAACATATCGACACGCCTGCTCGTAGACGAATTTTTCCACGAAAAATGTCGGTCGACTCGTGCTTTTGCCCAGCCGAACCTTGACACCGTGACACCATAGACCCCGTGACGAACGGATGAGAGTTAAAACGTGGCCCGAGGGGGACCCCGCTTCGCAAATTGGTCTAGAAAGTTGCCATTGATACGAACGAAGATCGATCATCGAAACATCAGGACGTTCACCTACCGTACGAAAAAATTCGTGGCGCGGTGACCTTTACGCTGGAGAGGACCCCGACATGATTAAGTACTGCACATCGATACCCATGGCACTGGACAAAGTGCACAAACGTTCTGATATAGACGCTCTCGGAGCTGTTGCAGATACCAGGACAAATGGCGATGGTAACATCATCTGCGGCAACAGAAAAAAAATCACGTTGCAGAACGTTGAATAGCATGGTTCGCGCGACGAACAGATCACGCGAGTTCCCCGTGCCCCGACAATGCTGCAACTCCTCGAACCGAGACTCTCTATGGAATTGCAGGACCCGTTGAACTGGTTTCCACTTTGTTGCCTGCATCAAGGTTCGATCGTGTCGCAAAGATGGTCAAAACAATGCCAAATTCTCTGCTTGCAACACCGATATACAGAGTGTCCCAAAAATGCCTCGCAATCCGAAAGTGGCGGGTTCCTCGGATCATTCGAAGCAACTTTTTCTTTTACAAAAATTTTCTCCGAGGCACCGTTAACGAGTTATTAACGAAAAACAGTGACCAATGAGAGGCGAGCTCGGCTGGCGCGAGGCGACCGAGCCAATGAGCGGAACTGGGCTTCGTGCGCTGGCTGGCTGGGCCGACTCGCGTCAGCCGTACTCGATTCTTATTGGTCACTGCTTTTCGTTAATAACTCGTTAACGGTGCCTCGGAGAACATTTTTGTAAAGGAAGAAGTTGCTTCGAATGATCCGAGGAACCCGCCACTTTCGGATTGCGAGATATTTTTGGGACACTCTGTATATTCGCAGCTGCAAAAATCGCCGGCCATGGCTGTTGCACACGCCGGTTGCAACATTGTCTGGGGCAACGGGGAACTATGTTGCAGAACGTTCAATATGTAGCTCGTTTGCATCGTAAACGGACCATTCGAACCGTTCGGTAAAGATTATTGATTGGAACTGGCACGATTGAGGCACGTTAAATATGCATGAACCGCAAGGAACACGGAACAATTCTCATGCAAACGAGTTGCAATCGCGCGTTTTTAATAACAAATTGTCTGGCTCGCGGGCACACGTGCCGACGCACGAGGACAATCTTCGGAAGTTTTAATTAGTGCAACAGTTCTTCGACGGGTTCTTCGCGGTTTCAATCGGACGCATTTCGTTCGGGAAGAAATGATTTCTTCGCGGGAACCCATAAATTACAAAAACCGTGCGATTGCTCTGTAACATTGTAATCGCTGGAAGCGCGACGCGCGTGTTCACGTGTCCTTTGGCCAAACGGAACCGACCTTCGTAGTCATTGGTCAACGGCTGATAAAGATCGTAGGTGAGGGTGGTGTCGTCCGGAAGGCCGATGTAAACTCGTCCGCCAATCGGCCAAGGACAACGGACACGTCCGATTATACTGTGGACTATGGTCTGCACGTGGCCGCTGAAACCCCATAATCTCGTTGGTTTGTATCTGAAACGTGAAAAAGACAATGGATAACTGCGACGTGCTTCGCCCTGCATTTACCCCCCTCCCCCTCCACCCTGAAGAGAGATCGTTCGGAAAAATCGGTCGCGGAATAAACGAGACGATTAACATCGGTGCGAGGATCGGTACGTGATCGCAATATCTCGAACGTCCATCTTCTGTTACTATCGGCCTGTGTTCACCATAATTCAGAAGGCAAACACACTATGGCATCGTAATGCCTGACGACTGAGTCACGTTCTACGCGCTGTGTACGTTCTTATCTATTATAAACGACGTGTCTTTAATGCCTGACCTTGCGCGACCCTGACAATCGTAACGCCAGACGGTGTTACATCTACGGCGTTGCATTCGATTGACAACGAATTACTATATCGCTGGAAATTCAGAAACAATTCGCCGGTTCGGCTGCAGCGAACTCTCTCCTAATCGACGCTCGGATTGTACAATAATTGCTCCCTAATTCGGCTTGTTTTTATAGTCATCGACGATCGGTGACTATACAAATTGTTGAAATTTTAGCCTCGAGCAAAAATTAATCTATAGTTTACTTAATACTAAGATACTAAGATATCGGTTTACATTTTCGTCGGTTCCGTCAGCGGGCAACGACGGTGATGTAAACTGTATATAGTAGATACCGCGATACATCATCACCGGTACCATTAGATATACATCGTACCCTGACTGTTTGGGGGCCCAGCGTCACGTATACAATGTGAAACGCGACAAATAAAACGTCCCTGATTGGTGGACAAGACGAACCCAAAAAGGGTATAAAAGAAGCGTTTTTTTCTTGCCGGATTCTCAGTAGAGTTTGGTCGCTCGATCGTTTTCGCCCATATACCTTCTCTCAATAAAGGAATAAAATAAAGTC